TGAACTGTAAAAGCAATTTATTGACATTGTACTTAATTTTGTATTCCCATCTTAACGGTTTGTCATAGTGAACTTGCCCTTAAGAGCTCTGCTATCAAGACAATACACACAAATAAATGGAGAAGACGGTCATTGGCTATGAGACTGCACAGATGGTCAGATGATAGTAAACAAACGTACAAGGTGTCCGGTCGACGCCTCGAAATACGGGTCATTTTGTGTGGGCTGTTATCAGGTTGTGAACCAATGCGATAGGGTTAAGGTTAAGTTAAAGGAATAATGCCTCAAATAGGATGGGGAATAATCACTGGATTCTCTTTCGGAAGCATGTCTTTAAATTTTACTTTAAAGACTGTTAAATAAGAACAAACTGTTCTCAGAGTAAAACGGATAGAAAATAGTAATTGTGTTTCAGTTCTTATGGAAGATTGCTTTTCCTTTTTCAAAACACAAACAATTATATAATAATAATAATAATAATAATATACAGCAATTGCTATAGCGCCCTATCTAGCTAGAATAAGCCACTCTAAAGCGCTTCATAGTACATGGATATACAATTAATAGAATTAGCATGTACATTACTTAATACAATTTTGAAAAGTTCGCAGGAGCTGCCCAATCAGACGCTGACTACTAGTCCTCTGCCACCTTGCTAATATCTCCCAGTGTACGATGGGTGGTTTGGTGTCGCATTGGAAAGCGCACTTGCCTTTCACCAAGGCGGCCGGGGTTCGAGTCACCAATCGGACGTGAAAAGGTATGAGGTCACCTGCCCGATCACGTGGGTTTTCTCCAGGTACTCCGGTTTCCTCCCACATTTAGACCCTCCGCGCTCCAAAATCCGGGCCAACAAGAGTGATTAATATAAGTTGAAATAACATGTTTCATCATTGTTAAAAATAAATAAAGTTTGTATTTAAACAGGTACGATAATTTGAGCAGGCCTATTTTCTCCAAACCTACCAGAGTTTGAGGATTCAGAATTTTTCAGTTTATTTTAAAACTTATGCTTGTGTGTCAGGAGGTTTATTATAAGATGGATTGTGAGTTCAAATCAACAACGGACAAATCTAGGGAAAGGCAAGCTTTGGCAGATAGAGCTAAATATCTAAATATCACATTGTTCTAACTACTGTGATTTATATAAGATAGGTTATTTTATAATACATGTGGGGGTTTTCGACAATGATTATATACCTTCGTTTGTTTTTATTTAGTAACGAAAACGTGTGCTTCATGTTTGTGAAATCTTGTGGGATTTTTTTCAAAAATCATTTGATTTAAATTCTAAAAAGTTGACGTGTGGAACAACATTGAAGTGTTTGTTAAAATTTCAAAGTACTACTTTGTTTGCCAATCCGCACGCGACAAACACGCTGTTCAAACTTTGAACGAAATTTGTTGGACTGTCGATAAGGCGGGCATTTTGAATTTTAAATATAAATTATAAGTTAAAAAAGAACACAAGAGGCAGAAAAACGTATATATAAGTATTGAACTGTGTTTGTATGGTATTTATGATCTATTTGAATGACACAGGTTTGCAAGCAAACAACATAATGTGCGCTACACAGTTCAATGCTTAAGTAACACTAAAATATCCTCCAATTCTATACATATTAAAATTTGATTTCATGTATAAACAATTTAATGCAGATATATATCTTGAAGTAACTATACAAATGCGTTTCCTATGTTTACCGTTATGTGTAAACTGCCTCGCCTAGACGTTTCTTATAAAAAATATAATTTATATATATATTGCGTAAATTGCATTAACAAGTTATTGTTTTATACATGAATATATCATGTATTTGAAGAAAAGGACAGTGATAAGTTGTGAAAACTTTTGTCCAATTCTTTTGTAAATATTTATTTGCAATAAAATATGTTTAAATCTAGACGTTTCTGTTTCTTTTGTTTTGATAATGTTTCAAAAGCAGCCAGTGAAGCAGTACCCATGATGCAAATATAAATTATTAAACATAAAAAATGTCAATCGTAAATAAGAAAATAAAACATCACAATATTTTGAATATCATACCATTTCGTACGAAAATAACATTATTTCGCAAAAATTATACATTTTTTTACAATATAAATAACAAGATTTCTGGACATTGATCGTTTCTGATCATTCTAAAGGCTCAAAGGGGAAACCAGAAGCCAAAAAATTGAAAAACCATTTTGTTCTAAGCTTCTGTTGAAACAGGTAGGTGCTTAAAAACCGGGGCCGCAGTTACCAAGTGGTTAAGGCGTCTGACATTCTGATACCTCTATTCCTCCTGCACTGGGTCGCGGGTTCGAGACTTTTCTAAATATATTCACAAACGTAGGTAAGTAGTCATATGTGTAAGAATGCAGAAGGTAGGACACACAGGTGATTGCGCCTATACAATTTGGTAATCTAACAATATAACAAAAATATATTACACTGCACCAAACAGCTGTTCGTCATTCGAGGACTTATTGGTGACACGAAGTGCCAACAATCAAAAATGGTATATGCGATAATAATAATAATTCGAGGTTCTTATATACCGCTTTATCACAACCCAGTTCGTAGATCGTCTCAAAGCGGTTCACAAATTACTATCCGTGGTTATACGGCCTTTGCAACCGACCTACCTTCTTTCTCAACGCCCTTGGGGACATACAGCCAGTGCTGCCATTTCTGCGCTCACAGCTGTAGCATTCAACAATTCTAGTACTGCCCAACCACGTACTCATTTACAGCTGAGAAGACTGGAACAAGCGGAGTGAAGTATCTTGCTCAAGGACACAAAACAGTGCAGTACTCTAACTCGCAACCCTTCGGTCATGAGCCCGGCGTCCTACCACTAGACTACCGTGCCTCATATGTAATTTGGATACACTGATTCCGACCTTTAGTAAATTTAGAACGAATTAATCGTTAGTTTATCAATAATTAGTCTACGATAAAGCATTATGAGAAATGACACCATAACTGACGTTCATTATTATAGCTATGCCGTTAAGCCTATAGCTGTTGGTAAGCTTATATTACCGGTATCAAATTTGGCGTTACAAGTCGAAACTAGCAAGTACATGTAGCATATCAAAATGCCATGCTAACGTATGCTGACAGAATTATCAATTTATAGAAATAACTTAATAAAGCGTGTGTTCTGTCGTACCATATAGAGCTGTAATACATAAAGTTAACGTGTCATAAACGTTAAGGTATTTTGTACTTACATGTTCAAACAATGCCAAGGATGTTTTAATTAACGTTTAATGTGACCTCATTATCTAAAGTACATAACATATATATCACTGAAGTACACGCGACGCTCTGATTTACATATATATGTTAGTAGAATATATGTTATTAGTACTTTCACACTATATAGAGATTTTCTGTGGTTTCGGATGGGCACAATCATCTCGACTTAAAGCCGAAATACCTCTTCACAGTTAATAAGAGAGAAATTACACCGTAATGCTTCGGTACATAAATAGATATTATGTCATGTCGCAGCATCCAGTTTGGTAACTAAAGAGATTGAAACGTCAAAATGTCGGTAAACTATTTTTAATGAAAGCGTCTGCTTGAATGCCTTATTTAAAACTAAATTCATTATCTATCATTTTGATAGCTGAAGTTCAAAATCCATATTTTCAATTAACATACACGTGTGCATATAACTTATATAACATGTTGTGGTCTTTATGTGGTATTGATCATTTGGTCGTACTTTACGGTGACTAAACCACCTTTTCGGGGATTTGTTTCATATCAGCTAATTAAGGTCATGTTAAAACGGATACCCTAGGGAGCCGCTGGCAAAAAGAAAGACTATAGAAGTAATAATAATAATAATTCGAGATTCTTATATACCCCCTTATCACAGCCTAGTTCGTAGGTCGTCTCAAAGCGGTTCACAAATTATTATCCGTGGTTATCTTTCTCAACTCACTGGGGAGCATACAGCCGGTGCTGCCATTTCAGCACTCACAGCTAGCATTCTACAACTCTATTACTGCCAAACCACGTACTCATTTACAGCTGAGTAGACTGGAACAAGCTAAGTAAAGTATCTTGCTCAAAGATACAACACAGTGCCGTGCCGGGACTCGAACCCGCAACCCTTTGGCCACGAGCCCGGCGTCCTACCACTAGACTACCGTGACTATTTCGTTTGAAGTGACAAAAAAAAAGAGAAAAATATAAACCCAGGTGTCGAATACGGCCAGCAAACCAGTGTCTCCTATGCAGAATCACTTAATAAAACCCAGTAGGAGACGTATGTTGCATCGCCTTATTAGAAAAGATGTAATGGGTTTTCCAAACTGGATTTTTTTGATTTAACGAAATATCTCTTCATCTTTTCCCCTTTCAACATTAGTTTAGACTAATTTGGATTTCCATCTTTTTGGACCCTAGCATCACCGACGAGTCCTAAAAGGACGAAACAGCTGTACGTTGCAGTGTAATTAATTCATATTGGCATACTATATCAACTACTAAATTGTATAGATCTAACCACATGTGTGTATTACAATGTATCTTTCATGTTTTCAATTTTGTCAGTGAACTCCTCTAAAATTTGATTTAGGTCATTTCTTCCTTATTAAATAACTCAACATGTTTACAAAAAAAAAAAAAATCAGATTTTGTTTTAGTTTAATATCAAATTCCACATTTGTTTATCGATTAACTCGCAACTTGGCCTTGATGTAAGATTTACGTCATTTTATAAAAAAAACATTTGTAATCATTGTTCCCTTGTACAGACGGGCATTCGAAATTCATACAAGATTCCGTCTTGAACTTAAAAAAATAGGGTTCTGAATCATTCTATGATGCCTATTATAAATATAACGAAAAGTTATATTGCAGATGACAGGTATAAAGCGTAAGGTAGCATATGACTTGTTTAGAATGTGCCGGCCGAAACGGACAGATAGTAGGCCCGAATCGAGGACAGCGCATGTACACAAGCGCCTTATCATACAGGATTTAGTGACGGAGATGTTGATACCGTCTGTGATTTGTGCGCAGTTCTAAACTACGCTAATGGATGATTTACGATCTAAATGACATGTTTCTCTTCAAAATGTACTTTGTGGTATCAAATTTGATTCTTGTGTGCTATTGTCTTCCGTTATCTGGTGATCCATTCCGTTCTGTGGAAAGTACATTCGAGCCAAATGTGGAAACAAAACCCGTCAATAATGCAGACTTTTCTGGTCCAAATCATGGTCCATTGAAAGTTACCCTGTTTCATACGAGTACCGCGCCCAATTCGCACCTGTCTCGGGAGACTTCAGAAGGTCCGATTTTAAACAGACAGTCCGAGAGTCCTCCAGGTACTTTACTAGGATTATTTTACGCCGATCGGAAGAAAGAAATATCGACTCCGCAAATTTTTGAAAATATATTTGAAAATTCGAATTTAGAAAAATCACAAACTTTTTTGACCACATCGCCATTTCCAGATTTTGCAGCAGAAGAGACTCCGAATCCTGCAGAACTAATCTCAAATATTCCGGAAGTCAGTGCTATTTACCAAAGACACGGCCACTGCCGTTCAACTAAGCCTTTTACCAGGGCAATTTTCGTTGTGGACAGGTGCCCATGGTCCGCTATGGATCCCTGGCTTATGGACCGATGCCATCACTCAGAGGAAATCCCTTACCGTCACCCGGACTGCGTCATTGAAATCGACCATATTCCAGTTCAGGACGCAGAAGGCATTGTTTATAGGAACATTTACTGTGCTATATGTCATGGAGCCAAAAATGCAAGTACCTGGTCAACCGAGATTATAACGGACACCATCACACGTATGGATACAGACGAGAGTAAGAATATACTTCTTTTATCTAACGAACCAAACACATCTCCAAACTGCTCCAAGAATTACTTTCCAGCTCAAATGAATAAGATCTTGTTTTGTAGCACAACAAAAACTGAAGAGTTTGGACACTCTCATCGTGGTAGAAGCTCTTTTGGGGAAGACCATCACACAAAAGCATCTGTTTTCCCGCTATCTTTCCAAGTTATAATGAATTTTGGCTTCAATGGAAAAGGACACATCTTCTTCAGCGCGACACCTCAAATTGAAACCTCTCCGACAGTCCACAAATGTGCTGAGAACGAAATTTATGTTCAAAATGTGGAAAAATGTAGAAAGATTGTCTGTGCTTCCGGGCATAAATTAGTAAATTCCAAATGCCAGGCGACTACTGATACTTCTGACGGTGAATCGTCTTCACTTGACAACCTGGATTCACTCAACCACGACGAAGAAGCTTCTCAGATCACGCTGCGCCTCAACGTCACTGAGCAGGATTTGCTGGTGCTACGCCAGGAAGACTCCGACAAGAGCATCGTTGCAGAATTTTGTACCATGCTAAACATCAGTTCAGACCGGATAAAAAACTTTACTATTGAATATCAGAACGGAACCGTGTCCGGCAAAACGCTAGAGGTCCATCCGTTTGTCACTCCAAAACCAATACGCAAAAACAAAGCCCGGCCACTAGACCCCAATGAGGAGCCTACCATTTCGAATGATGGATCCGCTCATGATAATGGAGACTCGCAATTAGATACGAATGGGGAACGGACGGAATCTTACGGTGTTGATCTTGACAGTAAGAAGATGCCTTATAATACGTTACAAGAGACATACACCGTGATAATAAAATTCATCATATTTCCTGCCAGAAAGAAGAGTTCCAAAGACGTACCCACTAGTTTGGTGATCGACACGATGAAGTCAATGATTTATAGGAAATCGTTTAGTTTCAGTTTGAACGGGACAAGTTTTAACGTCGATGACGTAGACAACTTCGACCCTCTGATCCTGGACTCCTGGTGTACCAAAGGCAGGATTAACTACTACTGGGGGGACGATTTTGAACTCACCTCTCGCCATAGTAACGAGACAGGTCAGTATATATTCAGTTTATACATATGTAAATTAATTATCCCTGTGCAGGTTCGGCTTTGTCTAGGGTCATATGTTTGTATATTTTAGTGGAATTTATTTCTGCATTCGAAAATGTTTGGAAAATAATCAAGCAACCGGCATTGATTTTTTCCATACATATCCTCATCCCATGGATGCACGGTAGTCTAGTGGTAGGACGCCGGGCTCGTGACCGAAGGGTTGCGGGTTCGAGTCGCGACACGGCACTGTGTTGTATCTTTGAGCAAGATACTTTACTCCGCTTGTTCCAGTCTACACAGCTGTAGATGGGTACGTGGTTGGGCATTGCTAGAAATGTAGAATGCTTGCTGTGAGTGCCGAAATGGCAGCAACGATTGTATGCTCCCCAGGGAGTTGAGAAAGATATTGGCTGGTTGCAAAGGCCCTATAACCACATATAACAATTTGTGAACCCCTTTGAGACGACCTACGAACTAGGTTGTGATAAAGTGGTATATAAGAACCTTGAATTATCATTGTTATTATTATCATTATCCTCGTTTTATATTCCGCCATAATACATGCTCATACGTTGGTTCTTTCTTTAATAACGACTCAGTTTTCTTGTGATAACGACAACGTTTCGTAATAATGACATTAGTATCTCGTAAAAGATCATTTTCGTCTCGTAATAACGAACTAACTATTTTGTAACTACTACTTATTACATGTTTTCGTAATAACGACAAAGCTATAGGCAACGACTTGGTTCTGACCCCAATTTTACACTCTCGGGTAAAATATCCATATCTTACATTCCTTTTATATAATTAACTCTGTTTATCTCATAATAACGAAATTTTTATTTCGAAAAACAACAGTTTTGTCGTTTTGACGAGATAGGTATTTCGTAATAAAAACATTGCTATCTCGAAATAACGAAATAGTTATTTTGTAATTTTATTCATTAGTTCAACTCAATATACCCTGAGATCCAATAAAAGAATTGATAACAAAATGTATGTTAAAATCAGTCACTAATATAGAAGCAATAACAACAACAAATGGCTATAAACGAAAGCTTTTCGGTCGTTTCTTAAAACTTGACACAAATAGGCATACAATGTCTAAATTGTAAGTGTTCATTGTTAAAATAGGTTTGGCTTCTCATACAAAAGACTGAGTTTGCGAACATTCAGTCTGCTAAATGAGTTGTGAAGTTAAGTTTTCCCAATATGCCTAAGATTTCGTCTTGGTACCTGATGAAAACAGAATGAATTATATAAGAACAGTTAAAGAGGCGATAGACACATTTACAAAGGAAAACAATCTCTAAACATTTCCGTCGACATTCAAGACATGCTAAAGCAAAATGTTTAAAACATCTGTATAAGGTTGATCATAACACATTATTATCCGTGGTTAAAGGGCCTTTGCAACCAACCAATAGCGTTCTCAACTCTCTTGGGAGCATACAGCCAGTGCTGCCATTTCTACAATTCCTAGCATTCTACAATTCTAGCACTGCCCAACCACGTACTCATTTTCAGCTGAGTAGACTGGAACAAGCGCAGTGAGGTATCTTGCCCAAGGATACAACACAGTGCCTGGCCGTGCCTCAAACCCGCAACCCTTCGGTCACGAGCTCGGCGTCCTACCACTTGACTTCCGTGCCTCCAAGAGATAAACACGCACTCAAGTCTTCCACACAGTGTTCATTGACCAAGATCTGATTTATTTTGTTTTTCTCCAGAAAGAAATTTACACGACAACACTTTCTCACATTCATTGTCATCCCCCAGTCTCAACACCCTACATACAGCCTTATAATATCACTCTGCAACCTTTTGGTTATAACAGGACATAGATAATGGAAATGCAACACTCAAAGAAACACAATTTCTAGATAGCGTATACAAAAACCGTTATGTTGACATAATGCATAAGTATGTAAAATATAAAAATGTACAAAGGATGATATCAGTGATATAAATTTGTCCCAAAAATGTTATTTCAGTCATTGTCAAATTTACCAGACCTGTTGCATATATTGTATCTTCCAGGTCAGATGAGGTCCGCTATCTACGTCAACTCGACCAACACATTCTACGATCAGAAACAGTTTGATCTATATGTGATGCTGACAACAACATTGGGCGATGTGTCCAACGTGAATAAATCTTCCTATGTATTTGTATGTGACATGCCGCGCATTGTGGACAAGGAATGTGGACGAATAGAAATAGTCGATTCGGAATACAGCCGCTTCCCCGAAAACAACAGCATCCTGTACTCGGGCGAGTTGATGAGCATGAATAATTACGAATACGTAAACGACACTTCGGACAGTTTGCGTCTATGTGCCCCCAAGGAGTACGTGTCTGGACACAATAACCTTCTTGTTCAGTCATGCGGAGTCCATTTCTATCAAGTCATATTAGCCGAAAACTACCTATCCTTCACACTAGGCATAGTATCTCTGGTTGCCATGGTTTCTGTACTAGTTACCTATTATCTCTTCGATAGTCTTCGGAATTTACCGGGACTTAATACTATAAATTTAACTGTGTCGTTATTTTTAGGGGAACTACTTTTCTTACTTTCCGGTCTGGTGGTTAAGCACGGTATAGATTGGCTATGTAAAGCGATTGCTGTATCCCTCCACTACCTGTTCCTTGCATCCTTTTTCTGGATGAATGTGATGGCCTATGACCTCTACAGGACATTTGGTCATAAATGTATACTGACAAGAGTTAGAGAGAAGAAGAACTTCTTTCGTCGTTACTTCATCTACGCATGGGGCTCTCCGGCGCTTATTGTGTGCGCATGCGCATTTATAGACTTCAGCAATCTCTTAGAAGGGGTGCGTATTGGTTATGGCAGTTATGTTGAGAAGAACACGGACAATATACTCGCCGGAAATGTCCTGTCAACACCTTCAACCAATCGGAGTGGGGAACACAATGACAGTGATCCAATCATATCGCCGAATTCACCGAGCAATAGTTTCACTGAAGCAAATCTAGGATGCTGGATAATGGAGCCCGTAGCGACTTTGGCGACCTTTGGTCTTCCAATGATAATAATTTTGGGCGCGAACGCCATCATGTTTATCAAAACTATCATCTGTATCAGAGATGTGGCAAAGCTTGCCAAACATAAAACTCGGCGCTCGTCATTGAATCAAGCGGTTGGGAAGTCTGATGTTGTGTTATATGTGCGCATGTCCACAGTAATGGGTTTTACGTGGATAATTGGTTTGGCTTCAAGCATCATTTCCGCCTTTGCGGACGGTCCGACAGACACAATGTGTATTGTATTACACACGATCGGGATTTTGTTTATAGTGTTCAATTGTTCACAGGGAGTGTTCATTTTTGGAGCATTCGTGTTCAATCAGAGAGTTTTAGGGCTTTACAAGTCTAAAATAAAGACATGGCGGGAAACTGATCGACGGAAGACTTACTTCCGGTCAACATCAACGCTATCATCGTCTGTGAAGTACTAATATCGTTTCGGATTTATATGTTTAAATGGCAATGGTTCAAAATATCTTAATTGTGAACAAACTGAAGCATTGGAACTTTCGTTCATTGTACCTTCGTTTTAGACAGGCCGTTAGCAGTGGTACCTGATTTTACTGAACACTTGTGTATATCGGAACCTCGAAAGACCATGGTTTACTTATAATACTGGAACCAGATTATTCCGGATGTTCGTGTATAAAGAGAAAATCATTTAACTTAAAAGGTTTGATAATGCTGTATAAAGTAGAACCTGTTTAGACCTGATATTTTCAAATGAATCGTTTCCTCGTTACATCGGATATCTGTGTACATCAGAACCTTTCAAAACGGACATTTCTGTATACAATGGATCCTTATTATACTGGCTATTTTTATTTCATATGAAACATTATCAGGGCGGACCTGTATTAAGTTAAACCTCAAAAAAAGGTCCAATATGTTTGTTTGAAATGGAACCTGCTTAGACCGGAATTTTACACATAATTCCTATCTTTGTTACGCTGGATATCTATGTGTATTTAGAAACCCTTTTAATCAGACATATTTGTATATTACGGAACCTCCTTATACTGGTTTTGCTGTATATTTCTATATAAAGTATAACCTAGAATGTACTAATATCTTTGTATGAAGTGGATTTTTTAGGCTGGACATTTTTAAAGAGTAGTGAAGCTGAGTTGACTGGACATTTTAGTACAAATTCGAACTTTATTAGGCAAGTTACCCTCTAGATAATATTCAAAATACGCCCATATAAAAAGGATATTTATCACATAATGTACTGTGTTATCCAGTGAATAACCCCATGTAATATGACCTTATTAGCCCTGTGCTTGGTTGTAAGTTTCAATTGTTTCAATTGTGACGTCACGCCTAGGACACGTACATGACGTCACAGACTTACGCACTGGAGTCAAAATGGCGGCTTTTTAGATTTCAAGGTTGCATGAAAATTGTCGTTTTTCACGAATAAATGCCATACATCTTGATGAATTGATAAAAAAGATCTTACATTCGTTTTCATTTCATACGAAGTTTATGAAACTCGTCAGAGGCTCGCTTAATTGAAAAACAATCTTAGACTCGTTTCATCAATGTCATATGAAATGGAAACTCATGTAAGATCCTATATACATATTACATGCCTGACAATTTAAATTTTGAAAATTACTTCATAATATATTTTCCAGATTGATGAAACAAAAGTAATAACTATGCTTGATCTAAGTATGTAATCCTTGTGTGGAATTCGACCATTTGCATTCGTCGGCATTACTTGCAGCTCAAATTTATATTATTGAGTGATAATGTATTCTTATTATTGTTTTAACGCTAATTCAAATTGAAGTTAACGTTTATCTTAAGATGTAAATTCAGCAAACTATGTAGTATATGTACCTATATGGTCACTGTAAACAATAACCATGTCTTGTTTTGTTGCGATTGTATAAATACTGCTACTATATTTTCCGTATCTTTTCTATGTTATGATTGGCTCTGACAGTATAGTCACGTGGCAATTTAGCAAATCTAAGCCGATATATATCACTTGACCCAAGAAATGAGTTGTTATAAAATTAGACAGTTTCATTAAACAGCCGACTGGCAAACACAATATTTAACTTTTTTTTTAAAGTATTAAAACTATTATAACATATTAATGACCTTAAACTGCGTCTTAGGTTCATATTTTTCTTGAGTTTATAAATCTACCTCTCCTGAATATTATTATTTAGAGGTTTAAATTATCCTGACCATATCACCCAAAGCCCCGAGGGGCGGGAGGCCCGAAGCCTGATCTGTCGAGGGTTGATACGGGTTACGATATTTAAAAGGAAATAAGATAACTTTTTGATATATACTATACGTTGTTTAAGTGTTATAAGTAATGAAAAAAATGAGTAACTGAGGAATGCTATTCTGAAACGTATTTGACCGGAAGTAACCAGAAACCGGATGAGAAAAATTGAATTGACTAGGATTCTGTATCAATCAAACTGAGGCCTCGGTTGGAACTACGTTACAGAATCTTTACCCTTAACTGAGATTAATAGAATTCATCCATGTGGTGAACTATGGATAAGGTAACTCAAACCCAATGGATACAATATTTAGCAGGAGCCCCGAAGCTTTGCCGATGGTCTTCTGCTCAATATTTTATCCCGAGGGTAAACTGTCTACACGATTCTCATTTGCATATGAAGCCCGGATGCCAATTGTTAATGACGTCAATGACCCTAACTGACCCGAAGACGTCATAAAATGACGTCACGAACAATATAATGACCCCAAAAGGTCACTGTAATTTCCCCGCCAGTCTGATCGTGTAAGCGATCTTGGCCCGAGGGTCGGATAGCATATTCTAGAACCGCCGGAAATGCAGACATCTCGGTCAAGTATGCAAGAAAACCCGACCCCGCTTAGTGACAGGTAGTCTCGTTCAACCAGACGGTCGATTGTAATTCCTCTGTTCAGCGTAGCTTGCGCAGACAACAAGAGTCTGGTTGAACGAGACTTAGTGACAGGTAATGGATTGTATTACTCTCCCCGTTGTGTTGAATTTAAGTGTCTCTGTAATCCTTTGATATAAAAGGATCCCCGTACCACTGCTGTTTCTATGCATTGGCATGTTTTTTCCTCAGCATGACAATAGCTTTGGTTTTTCATTTTTGAAAAGAAAACATACGTTGCGGAAATTTTATGAACAAATAAACAAAATTTATTCAACAAATACATTAAAAGGGAGGTAAATCAATGTATATATATAGAGAATCGTTGGGACAGGGATCCTTACTATATAACATGTATTCCCTAGCGATTATATAGGGCGATGTAATGCTGTATAATACTAAATATGATAAACTAAATAGCGGTATGTGAACTAATGTGATGCCAATAAAATTCAAATATTTTCTTTTACTAGAATTGTCGTTACATTTTCTATGTTTTGTGGACTTATTTGGTATTTAAAACTGTATTTTCTAATAACCTCATTCAATAATGATGTCCCGGTGTAAAACCAAAACCTAGAAGGAACTACCGATTTCTTACAAGCAATGCATTGAATACGAATACTGACGAAGTATTCCGAATGGTAAATTGTGGTCAACAACACTGACAGATGCCCAGATGTGGGGAGCAAACACATGTCACCGGGTCTGTTACTGTCAATTCCATATTATTAATTCCCCCAAACGAAGTCAGAGACTTGGGTTTTTTTCATTCTTCTACTTTTTATTATTATATTTCCCGTCAAATGGTTTCCGGACGTTTTCTCAGAAAGGACTGCCCATGTATTTATTAAACATTACATGAATGTTATGTTAAATGAAAGGACGACGCAGATTTTCTTGGTTCACATGTTGTTTATTTTCACAATACGTCGAACACAAATATAAACCCTACGAAGACACAATACATTTTTTTCACATAATGCAACACAGCGCTAGCACTTACATATAAGTCCTCACATGATGTACATTCAGTGAATTCCTATTTAAAACGTTCACACACAATAAGTTATTCATAATAGGAATATGACTTAAACTTTACAATGACTTACTTCACCTTAATCATTAGTAGAAATTACATATACATATATTGAATAAAATATACCTTAGCAAGGCACGGTAGTCTAACGAGGACGGTGGACTCGTGACCGAAGGGTTGCGTGTTCGAGTCACGGCACGGCACTAATAAATCGTTGAAGTTATGAATTCTTATATTTTCATGTTTTGCAGCCTTGGGTGGAATCAAATTATTCAAATATTGATGTATTGAAATAAACAGTAATTTTACTTATTCATGTCACACCTCACAAAGTAATAAATAAATATTGTTCTTTAAACAAGGCACGGTAGTGTAGTGGGAGTGTAGCTGGTTCGAGTCACGTCACGGCAATGTGTTGTATCTTTGACCAATATCCTTACTCCGCTTGTTCCAGTCTACTCAGCTGTAAATGAGTACTACGTGGTTGGGCAGTGCTAGAATTGTAGAATGCTAGCTGTGGGCGCCGAAATGGCGACACCGGCTGTATACACTCCAAGGGGTTGAGAAAGATATTGGCTGGTTGCAAAGGTCCTATAACCAAGGATAATAATTTGTGAACCACTTTGAGACGACCTACGAACTAGGTTGTGAAAATGCGGTTTACAAGAACCTCGAATTAATATTTATTATTATTATTACATTATCGTATACAATATGAAAATACCTACCCCAACTATGAGTCGGGGGTTTACACAGAATGAAGATATGTATGTGATAAAACTCTCTTCTCTGTAAAAGACACATGTAAAGCACGAAAAGAGCTAGCTATGTATTACATGTATGTGAGATCATGAGTATGATAGTTTTATTTTAAAAAAAAACAACATTAGTAATGCTTTTTTATCCAATTTCGTATTAACGAAAAATTTAACATAAACTAATTACAGAAAATCTATATGTAGTACGTACCAGATCTCGAGAGAGACTTTTAAAAAAGACTTGAAACTCCTGGATATAAAATGCATCCACCCTAAAGCTCTGTTTATGAATGAATGCTAAAACCGTGCCAAAACATGTAACAAAGACACCTGGACTGACCACTGACCAAAACGAGCTCGAGGTAACACTTATATTTAGAACAATCACATTATATGGACGCAACAAGGTACAATGTATGACAAGTGACATATGCATGTGACAACAGACTTACGTGGTCAAGAACAACACAGGTAGACGACACAGGGATCGCATACAACATAAGCGAGAACACGATAAACGCAGCGCAAGAATTAATTCAATTTAAAAATAATTTACCACGAATGATGAGTGTCTATAAGGCCCCCTTTCGGGCCCCGGTATATTCGGAGTTTGCCCTCCTAAACTTGTTCCAAGAAACTAAGGTAACAGTTTGACCGAAAGTGAGTTTTTGAGGGTACCGAAGGGGGTAGGGTAAACACAAATATACTTTGCTGTTTTCAATATGAGCTTAACCCCCCCCCCAAAAAAAACCCCCACCGTTTCTGTTTTTGAAAACATGTGTAAACTAAACATGCATATATAAAAGAATGAAAAAATTACAGAAACTCATTCGTCACTGAAAGATTGTTTATATAAAACAGAGAATTGAGTCAAGGGGTGCTTTTAGGTAATTTTCAAATGGAAAGTGTTTTGTTTTCTCAATAATTTACAATTTACAACTTTACTTATTTGTGTACACTTATATAAACTCTCTCTCACTCTCTCTCACTCATTCTATCTCTTTCCCACACTCACTTCCACTTCCACACTCACTCACTCTCACACTCACTCCCTCTCACTCTGTAATTCCCTCATACACACTTCCAATTAGAAAACGACCACCTTGAGCATGGAGTATCCAATCAGAGGTAATCTTTCATATTAGATACCTCCAATACCAGGATACACCTGTCACAGTAGTAGTCTCCCATCAGAGCTGACTGTGATATTGCTCGTGTAGATGAAAGTGAAGTATTTGTACACGTAACAATCTACAGTCGCTTAACGACGAAAAATAACCTAAAAGGCCAATTAAGCGTTAGGGGAGCTTTGATTACACATCAGCGCACAGTTAGGCACTTCCGTGTTTGAAACAACAATATCAACGCTAACGCGCACTATGGAATATTTTTGACGGAACTGTGTTGCATACCCTCATAAATGTTAAAAAGGGGTATTTGAAAACATGAAATATAAGACTACAACAATATTCTAACTCTCGGTTATTTTAAAGGGAGATATTTGAGCGCGTTGTGATAAATTGGATATAAATTATGTTTAAAATTAAAATATGATATATTTTAG